GGTTAGGTCCAGTGAGGGGACCAGGCGAGGGCGTGGGCCGCGCAGCAGCAGGACGCGCCCCCACCTGCGCCCGTGGGCAGCGGAGGCTCAGCCTTCTGCGGGGGGCTCAGCACCCCACCCGCTCCCGCCCAGCGCCGCGCGTCTGAAATTCAGTCTCGTTCTGCAGAGGAGAAAACGGAAACTCCTGGAGGCTGAAGTGGCTTTCCTCCGCTTTGAGTACCATGCTCTTTTTTTTTTCCTTTCTTCCTTGACCCCCTCTCTATTAAAGGGAACGTGGGTAATGCTTTATAGCATTTTTTATTCTGCTCCTCCCACTAGTTCTGCGCACATGATTATGTCCATCACGTTTGCTCATTCATCAGTGACTGAAGAACTTCAGAATATGTCGTATTTAACAATCATTGTTTAATACTTACTGTGAGCAAGATATATTGCTCGGTACTGGTTTTTGATAAGTTGATGTACACACTGGGCCTACCAGCAGTGGAGCTTGTAATCTAATGAGGAAATTTATACGTGTGCACAAAGAACTGGGATACAGTGGAGTGGGTGTCATAAGAAGGGTGCCGGTGATGTACTGTGGAAAGTTAGAAACGATACAGACAGAAGGTTGGAAGGAGGAGGGGACGTGTGATCTGGGCCTTGAAGGATGCCGGATTTGGGCTTTTACAAATGAAGAGAGTATTCTAAGTGGATGCAGAAAACGCTGGAATCAAGATATAGTAGGGGCAGCAGCGGATAGATTCATTTCATTGGAGCATGTAAGGGGAGCAGAGTTGGAAGAGGGATGCCAGGTGTCAGGGGACATTGATCTACGGCTCACCCCTTCAACCAAGATCGACTATACTATGATAATGTACACTATTTTAATATCTTACGATTTCTGACGAGGCAGATTGTTGCTCATTTCTTTTTTGTTTCTTGTTTTTGTTTTTGATAGTTGGACATTTGGTTCGATTGCCAAGAGGTTTTAGCTTGACCCAAGATTCGCTGAAAATAGTGGGATCGCCAAATTATCCAGGTATTCATAGATAGATTTTCAATACTTTTAAGAAAGTAATTAGCATTTCTTTAAATTTTACCGATCTTGTCCGAAAGGCTAATGTTGTTCAGTTAATCCCAGTCTCCTAAGGCCCCTTTCCTTCTAGGGCAATGGGTTATAGTTGTTTCCATATAGTTAGATTCATCCAAGTCTAATTCTATAACTTCTTATGTGTGCAAAAAATAGTTACTTCCAAAAGTTATATAATTAAAGTTGCCTGTAGTATTTTCTTGTTATTATATAATAATTATATTAGTAAATGCATACAGTTCAAATATGCTAAAGCTTTTTTCAAATGAGATCTATGTCTTGTAAAGGTTTTGGATTCATAAGATTTTAATTAATAGCCACTTAAGGTATAGCAAGTAAAAAATTTTTGTGTACTTTCTTATTGAGGTAAATTTACATGCCTTAACTCCTCCCCCCTTTAAAGCATACAATGCAGTAGTTTTTAGTATATTAACAAGTTTGTGAAACCACCAGCACTATGTGATCTTACTTTCATCACTCCATAAAGAAGTGCCATACCCATTAAGCCACCACGTTCAGCCTCTGGACACCACTAACCTGCTTCCTATCCCTATGAAGTTGCCTATTCTGGAGACTTCATGTAAGTGGAACGCTACACTATGTGGCATTTTGTGTCTGGCTTCATTCACATTATAATGTTTTCCAGGTTTGTTCCTATTGTGGGATGTATCGGTACTTCATTTCTTTTTATGGCTGAGTAATATTCCATTGTGTGGATATACCACTTTTGTATGTCCATCAGTTGATGGATATTTGGGTAGCTTCCACTTACTGGGTACTATGAGTAATGGTGTTATGAACACCCCTGGACAAGCTTCTCTGTGGGCATATGTTTTCAACTCTCTTAGTCTGTGTGAAGTGGATTCTTGCTGTGGTTTTGACTGGCATTTCTCTAGTGACTAATGACATTGAGCTGCTCATGTGTTTATTGGCCATCTGCATACCTTCTTTGTAGAAATGCCTATTTAAGTTCTTTACCAATTTTTTATTTGGATTAGCATGTATATTGAGTTGGAAAATGATGTATTCTGGATACTAGACTCTTGTCAGATATTTGACTTGTAATTGTTGTCTGCTATTCTGTGGGTCATATTTTTATTATTTTAAATAGTGTCCTTTAAAGCACACACTTTAATCTTTGATAAAGTCTGATTTCTATTTTTAGTTTGGTGCTGGTGTTTTAGGTGTGTCTTGCAAACAGTTGTGTAATCAACAGTCACAAAGTTTTAATTCTATGTCTTTTATAAGAATTTTATAGTTTTAGCTTTTATAATTAGGTCTTGACCATTTTGAATTAATTTTGCATATGGTGTGAGGAAGGGGTCACACTTTTTTCTGCGTGTGGATATCCAGTTGTTTCAAAGCCATTTGTTCAAGAGGCTATTCATTCTCTATTGAATTGTCCCAGTGCTCTTACTGAAAAGCAGTTTACCATAGATGTATGGTTTGTTTGTTTTTCTGAATTCTAAATTTTTTTCTATTGATCTATGTCTATTTTTAGGCCAGTACTACACTATCTCCATTATTGTTGCTTTATAGTAAGTTTCGAAATCATTAACTTTGAGTGGTTCCTTTATATTTGTTGTTTTTAAGATTGTTTTGACTATTCTGGGTCCCTTGCAATTCTATATTAATTCTAGAATTAACTTGTCAAAAAAAGCGCATTGGGATTTTAATATGGATTGCATTAAGTATGTAGATCAACTTTGGGAGTGTTGTCACCTTAACAGTATTAAGTCTTCCAGTTCAAGAACCTGGATTATTTTTCATTTATTTAGGTCTTCTTTAATTTCCCTTAGTGATATGGTTGTAAGTGTACGAGTCTTGGGCTTCTTTTGTTAAATTTATTCCTAAATATCTTATTATTTTTTGATGCTATTGTAAATGGAATAGTTTTCTTAATTTAGTTTTTGGATTGATCATTCCTATTGTATAGATATACAATTGAGTTTTGCAAGCTAATGCTGCATCCTGTCACCTTGCCACCTTGCTGAGTCATTTATTAGCTTTATTTTTTAGTGTGTGTGGGTGGGGAGGAGTTAATCTTCAGGATTTTTTATATATAACAACCATGTCATTTGCAAATAGAGATAGTTTTATTTCTTCCCAATCTGGATGGGTTTCTCCAGCTAGAAACTCCTCCATCTCAATGCTGAAGATAGCAGATACCTCAGTCTTATCTCTAATCTTAGGGGGAGAGAAAGACTTTCACTACTAAGTACAACGTTAGCGGTGAGCTCTTTGTAGATGCCCTTTATCAGGTTGAAAAAGTTCCCTTCTGTTCCTAGTTTCACTGCTTAAAGCATTGCTGTGAAGGGTGTTGCATTTTGTCAGACACACTCGCTGTAGATACTGAGATGACGTGGAGCATTGTCCTTTACTCTGCTGGTGCCATGCTACATTGAATGGCTTTTATATTCTGAACTAACCCTGCGTTCCCGGGATAAAAAGCAATTGGCCATAATGTACACTCCTTCTTCATGCTGCTGGCTTTGGTTGCTGATATTTTAAGGATTTTTATGCCCAGTTATTTTTGTGTGGCTGTTACAGCCTACCTATAAGTACGGGTGTAAGTATCCTAGGAAAACCACCTGCGGATGGAATCCCTCAGATTTAAGTAAAAGCGCCATCTGTTAGCATTACTTCAGAAAAGCCATCTGGCAACATCATGTCCCTCTGACACACCCAAGAGACAAAAACTGAATGATCACCTCAATCAATATGAAGAAACGTTTCTTAGAATTTAACAGTAATTTCTGATAAAAATAAATGACCAAGAATAAAGGGGAACTTTCTTAACCTGAGGAAGGATATCTGCCTAAAAGCTACATTCAGTAAATACCACGCCGAATGGTGAAGATTTATAGTCTCCTTAGCATTAAGAAGGATTTTGATTCTCAAAAACCATTTTCATATCCCTGGGTCCCAGCTCCTTTCTCTGCACGAAGTGAGGCTGTGAGCGCTGCCTGCAGCTGCTGAGACGCCCGGAGCCTGCTCCAGAGGCTGCCTTACGAGCACATTCCCAGCAACTGATGCCTCACTGTGTTCGCTTTCTGTCTCCTACAGAAGATGATTGATTTTTGTTTGTTTAATGATCGGGACTCTAAATTTTAAAGCAAAGTGGGAAAATACTTAATAATTAAAATAAATCAAAGTACATAGTTTTTGACTTTTAAATCACATTGCAGTGTGTTAATTCAGTACGTTGTGTTACATCATTGTGAATACACTGCTCCTTTAAACAAACTTAGCTTATCAGTTTCTTTCAGGGGTGGTGTCTTAACAATAAAGATAAAGCACAGATATAGAGTTATCTTAATATTTTATAATTAAAACAATATTCTCAGAATAAAATAAATTAGTGTATGTGAACTGTTAATAAAAAAAGACCAATGCATATGCTCTGATTGAGATACACACAAATAAAATAATGTGTCTGTTTTTAATGTTAGTTACATGGAATGCAGTGACATTCAGTTCTTATTAGGTAATAGCAATAATTCAAAGAAAACTTATGAAAACATGTAATTCAAACTGCAAATATGAAAGCACATACAGTATTAGTGGAACATTTTAATGTTGTATTTCAGTGAAAGTATATGTTATGACCCATCAGAAGAGTCCACACGTGTTATGTGTAACCCAGCGGCTGCGGAATTCCGAGCTGATAGACCCCACGTTCCAGTGGCATGGGCCGAAGGGGAAAATTATCTCAGGTAGGCACTGCTTCCATCATCATGAGATGGAGGAAGAACAGGAAGAGTATTTGTAGCTCAGACACGCTTTCCTGCTTCCTCACCTTTCTCGTGATTTTGGCGCTGAGATCCAGCGGTGCGGGTGGTGCGCCCGCTGTCCACAGAACTTAATTTGAGAGTCAGACGTAATAGATGATCAGACTGTGTGGCAAGTCCTCTAAGCATTTATACTCCCAGAGATGTTACTTTTTTATAAAGTTCATAAAACCATTTTGGTTACCTCAGACTTTTGTTAGTAATGCACATATGAAACGCAAACGTGATTTGGGCTTTTGTTAAAAATACAAATGAGCACTTTGAGCCATAGACTTGTAAATACGGTTTTGTTTGTTTTATCCAGTCCCACACAGAACAGTTCAAGACTATTCGTAGTTATAATTTTATATTCCTTTCTGACCAAAATCCTGACAATGTGGATATTTGAATTTAACTTAGATATTACTATAAAATTCGAAAGGAATGACTAAATTTAACATGGAATATTTTCATGTAAAAACATGCTGTTAAATACACTGCACGGTTTGGTGGTGGTTGTGTATTAATACCCTGCTTGTGCCTGTAAGAGCTGCTTCGCATTTGCATATTTACGTGTTTACCCAGAGGAGGAGATGGGCTGGAGGTACGTCCAAGGGGTAGCCTTGCATTTCTCCAATTTCTGAGGAAACGCGATCATACTCGTGTGAAGGTACTTTCTCCGCATGGCAGTTACTGGTGGTGTGACTGACTCATCACATTTTCTCCATTCGGCTTCTTTGTGATTTTGAAATGCAGCTCTTATTTTTACTCTAATTTTTCGTTTGCTAAAAGCGGATTTGTTTTTGCAGGACAGTTCAAAACGTATACACAGGCTCAGCTCTGTTGTTTTCAGTCTTGCCAAAAATCCAGAGGAATGAACTTCACATGGAAGATCTGTTCAGTGAAGCATTTAATCGTTTTGCATACGTCCTGAGGGAGTTTTTCTTCACTGCTCTGTTCTCTCTCCCTCTCCCCCCCTTCCTTCCTTCCTTCCTTCCTTCCTTCCTTCCGTCCTTCCGTCCGTCCGTCTGTCCGTCCCCCGCTCCGTCCCTCCCTCCCCTTGGTATATTGAGGTGGTGCTTGTGGGTGAAAACCCACAGCTTTATTTTGTCATTTTCCATGGAGGAAGGAAGAAATATATTCATACAAAGATTTGCTAAAGAAACACTCGTGGGAAATATTTGTTTTGCAGTACGTTTTAATATTTTATATAGTTGAATGATGTCAGTTGTAACTCACTATCAAGCATCTGTTATATGCAAATGTATGTGAGATACATGCACCTTATCACAATAAAGCAAACATAGGTTAGCCTGCTGTCCCAGTCACGGTTTACTGCCACCGAGGCCGTGACCCTCTTAGGAAGTGGCTTAAAATCCAGTTCTTCTCTTCCCAGCCCCTGTCCAGTAAACACTACCCTGAACTCTTACGTTACTACGTCCTAATTTTTCTTTATGCATTTACCGTACGTATAAAGGCACACGTTCAATAGATGTTACGTGTGCACGTATATATGTATGAATGTATTTTGCAAGAATATGTTTCAGTATTTTTATTTGAATTTTATAAAAATAAACACATACTATATTTGTCACATGTCAGATACAGTTCTAAGCAGTTTACACACACTAATCATTTAATTTTGCAACAGCCCTTTGCAGGGAGCACAGCCATTTTCTTCATTTTATATGTGGACACAGCTGCATATACATACCTGTAGACAAATACCTGTGAATGCCCAGCTCAGCTCAAGTGCCCAGTTAGAAACTGCTCTTTGTGTGATTGGTCTCTTGCCTCTTGGGCAGCCACACAGGTGGTGGACTGTGGTCAGTCACATTCTGACACAGGTCCTGGCACCTGCATCACCAGATGCCCAGTGTGACAGCTAGTTATGCCCCCAACTTCTTTGAATGATTCTGTAGATAAGTTTTCTTGGTTTTACTCTATTTAGAAAATACTTTGTTATTTTATCCTAATCTTGTGTAATTTAATAAATAATTGCTGCATCTTATTTCTTTGTTAGAAAACACCTCTACCCACGTGACCACCACAGGGAGCCTGGTAATCCAGGACTTCGACGAGGGTATGACTGGGGCTTACACCTGTTTCCTCGAGTATAAACCTACTGTGGAGGAAAGTGTTAAAAATGTCCAACTCAAATTCATTATCTATGGTAAGAAGTGCGTCGGTGCATTTTATTATCTCCTAGTGTTTTCAAATACTTACATATACTAACAGGTTTGTTTTAAGGGTATTTTGTAATTTTTACTCTGTTTTACTCAAAAGAAATGACTGCCTCCCTGTTTTACAAAGTGCTTTGTAAAGAGTTCATGGGGAGGGACAGATCTTTCCT